GTCCTGGCCGCGGGAACGCGAAGGCCAAGTGGCCTGGGCAGGGTGCGGGGCATTTGTCTTACACGAACGTGACCCATTGGACGCGAACGCGAGGGCTTTAGGAGATCCTTCTCCGCGAACGCGAGCCCGTTCACGCGAAAGTGAAGGCCTGGAGGCCTGACTCATCGCGAACGCGATGAGTCTATCACGAACGCGAAGAACATTTTTGCCCAGTTATTTTAAAAGACCCAAAATAGAACACTTACGGGATTTTTACAAAATTTCATAAACCTCTTCTTCTCCAAAGCTCTTAGGCGATTTTGAAGCATTTCCTCACCATAATCTCTTGGGTAAGTAATTTCTAACTTGTTATCTTTCACTTTTATCAACACCCACTAGATTTCTAGGCCCAAAACATGAGATTAAGGGTAGAAAATTAGGGATTTGGGTAGAGTTAGGGCTTTTTGATTAATTGGGATTTAGACCTCGTTTTGGGGTCGAATTCTGGAACTAATCATATATTAGGGCTCGTGGGTGAATGGGAAATCAGATTTTGGTTCGAACCTCGTGTTTTGACCAAGCGGGCCCGGGATCAATTTTTGGGTTTTTGGGAAGAATGATTAAAAAGCTGTAATTAAGCAAATGAAGTGGATTGTTTAGCATTTATTGATGTTATTAAGTCGATTATGTATAGATACGATCGTGTTGGAGCCAAATTCGAAAGGAAAGGCGGTGTTTGAGGCTTGAGTTGACCGTGGAAGTTTGAGGTAAGTGTTCGGTCTAACCTTAGCTTGAGGGATTAGGAGTTAAGTCCTATTTGCTATTTGCTTCTTGTTGAGTACGACGTATAGGCATGGTGACGAGTACCTATACGTTGATGTCGGGCATGACCGTGAGTCTTAAATTGCAAATTGTTATGTTCTTAAATGATACTACGGATGCCTTAGTTGATGATTCTCGATCTTGAGTAAGAATTGAGTTTGTTTCGTGGAAAGTACTTATGATTGGGTATTGGTGTTAGCTGAGATGAGTAGAAGTTGAACTAAGATTGGTTATAGCTGATTCTCCCTTGCCGGGACGTACTTTTCTTTACTGTTGAATCCCTTGCCGAGATAGTGTAGTTTATGATTGATCCCTTGCCGGGACACTTGGTATTATTGTTGTTAATATTAAATATGGATCGGGTTGCACGCTGCAACAATATTAAATATGGATCGGGTTGCACGCCGCAACAATATTAAATATGGATCGGGTTGCACGCCGCAACAATATTAAATATGGATCGGGTTGCACGACGCAACAATATTAAATATGGATCGGGTTGCAGGCCGCAACAATATTAAATATGGATCGGGTTGCAGGCCGCAACAATATTAAGTGTGGATCGGGTTGCACGCCGCAACAGTGTTTAATATTATATTGGATCTGGTTGCGCGCCGCAACAGTGTTATTATCATTGTTTTAGGTTGTAGATTCTGAGCTGTTCTTTCATATTTCTCTTGAGTTTTTGCTGGATTTGATATGTCTCCCTGAAGCACGTACCCCCTCCCTTTTAAACTATTATTTCTGTTATTTTTTTCCGCTTTATATTATATAATTGCACAGGTTTTATCTGGAGTCTGGTCCTAGCCTCGTCACTACCTCGCCGGGGTTAGGCCAGGCACTTACCAGCACATGAGGTCGGTTGTGCTGATGCTACACTCTGCACTATGTGCAGATACCGGAGCAGCTTTTGAGCAGTAGCGCTTGAGGAGCCAGCCTTCAGTCCACAGAGATCCCGAGGTAGCCCTGCAGACGTCCGCAGGCCCGACGTCTCTTCTATCTACTATATGTTCTGCTTCCATTTGTATCCGAGACAGACAATATTACTCTTTCTTCAGACATCTGTATGTAGTATTCATAGACAGTCCGTGAATGTTGCGACACCGGTTTCTGGGTAGAGACATATGTTGGCTATTAGTATTGATTTGGTATTATATTTGTCTAAGTCTTCCGCTTAAATTTCCGTCTTCCGCCATTATTTTACTGTTTATCACCTGTTATTAGCAGTAGTTAAAAGTATTAAAAATGAAAAGGGTAAAGATTTCTAAACTTCGTGGCTTGCCTAGCTTCTACGAGTAGGCGCCATCACGACTCCCGAGGGTGGGAAGTCCAGGTCGTGACATTAGCGAAATGTCGTTCGCCTTTTTTACCCTTTAAAAATATATTTTACATTGGACAAAATTGTAAAATCAAAAAACTTTCCTCATATTTAGGAGTTCTAAATAAAAAAAATCTAATATAATTGAGTGTTTAATCTTCTCCTAATAATGATACAATATATTAAGCCGTAAAAGAATACAAAAAAGTAGGAGGAAATCTTTTTGTTTGTTTCCAACAAGGAAACTTCACGTTTTTGTGTTTTTTTTTTCTTTGTCCTTGTTTAATCATAAAGACCAATTTTGCCTTTTTTCTTCTTTCATATGATTTATTTGTTGTTTTAAAAATTTAAATCATAAGTATTTTCTTAGAAGCTTGGCTGTTAAATTCGTTAAAATTTACTACGACATTAGGTTTTGAAATAGTAATTATTGTTGAAAAAAATAGTAATCATTAATTTGTGATAAGAAAATAATTATCATAATTTAATTTATAGAAATACCTAATTTACCTCAATGCATGTGTTAAAATAAATAAATGGAAAAGGACTTCTATTTTTTGGTAAAAAGAACTTAATATTATTACTAAGAAAATTTGTTACATAATTTAACTTTACAATACATGAATTAGTTATTAATTCATCTTATAGCTAATATGATTTTTTATAATATATAACTGATTCTGTCACTAAGTAGGATTAGCGATGAATTTTATTATTTAACTACATAATTTATCTATCGCTAATTTTTCTTCTCCTTGTAGTTAACTTGTCTTAGAATACATGGTACCTGGACGACAATTTTGATACGAAATTAATATAAAAGAATGAGATACATAATAACACTAAACTTTCAAGATTATCTTGGTTGTTGTCATGCTTAGATAGGCCATCCGTTACTTTTTTCGACTAAGTAGGCTCAATATTTATCATATTCAAGAGCTTATATTTTTAAAAATCTTAATTTTAAGGGCTTATATTTTTTTTAATAATTTTATACGCATCAATAGAAGGTAAGCGCATCGCGTATCCTAGCACGTAACCCCTTAGTGAAATGTCGTTTGCCTTTTTTATCCTTTAAAAATAGATGTTATATTGGTTATAATTGTAATTTAATTATTCTACTAATATTTAATACTTTAAAATCAACTAAATATTGGTCATTAAATCTTTCCTTATTCGAACTACATATATAGAAACTCCTAAATTTTAGGAATTTAAAAACAAATAAAAATTTACTTATAAATCCTTTCCTTATATAAATTGTGTAAAGTAATTATGACTTTTTCTTATGTATTAGACAAAAAATATATAAATGTGTTAGAAATGTACTAATAAAATTTTAGATCTAATTTTAAGTCTTCAAAAATTAAATATTACTAATAATATGTAAACCAAACTTACAACATACTAGGTCGAGTATGAAATATATATAAATAAGTTTAATATGATATGCTGATGTTTTGAAAATAATATTAATTTTTTTAATTTAAAGTAATAAGTACTATAATGTACTTTGAGTTAATTATTATCTGAATAAGTTGAATACACATTGAAAATTTATACAGATATTAAATTACAAATCCAATTACAATACTCGAAAAGTTAAATATAAATAAGATAAACTTATATATTGAAATTAATGAAAATAAATTAGATACATTTAGTCATAAGTAATTTAAGGTAGTAATTAAAAGAGCAAAAATAAAACATAGACAGCGAAAGGTATAAATTGATATTCTTTGTTAAATTGATTATACAATCAATATTTTTTGTTAAAACAAATTTACACATTTATTTTAATTCAAAAATAGTATTTATATAATTTTTTAAAAGTTTCAACTCATTTTGATAGGTTACACGCGCAACGCGCGTACCGTAAGACTAGTTACTCTAAATATTAAAACTCACTATTACAAGAAACACATGTTATGTACGGTTAAAGAATCAATTGGAGATGATTAAAAAGTTACAAAAATAAAATGAATAACTGAAGCACAAATATTTACATTTAGACATGAACTTATGAAAATCAATAGTACAATATTAAAACATAAAAACAAAATGAAAAAATTAAGCACAAATATTTGTTTGATCGTGAATATCGAAAATCTATCCATAAATCATCATTTCACTTAAACATAATTTTAAATATTTACTTTGCTATTAGACACTCTCTACGTAAGTCGAACCTCCAACTTATTGATTAGTAATCAAGGCCGTCTAACACTAGAGTAAGCATGCACTCAATATTTACATCAAATTAGCAATGCGTAGCCTGTGTATTTTTCTACGTTAATTTATCATTTAATCATGATTAAATAATATTTATACTATATTTGTGACCACTAAAAATAAATTATTTATTTATGTATCAATATCGAGTATGAATAAGTATTTACTCGACCAACCTATAGGCTCTTTATGACAAATTCGACCATATTAGAATGAATGAAATTAAAAAATAGTCAGATTTATAAGTGGTCATTCAAAAATAACCGCAGTTTTCAAAGTAATCGAAATTTAGCCATTTCTCATGTAAAGATAAATCTGAACAAAAACACTGTTCAAAAATCGAAAAAATACTCCAGCATAATATACTAGAATTCCAGTATAATATACTGGACTTCCAGCATAATATATTGGAGTTACAGTATAATATACCGGTCCAACATAATATGTTGGAAGTTCACACACAGGTGCACCGATCTCCAGTATATTTTGCTGGAACTTTACGTGTTGCAGCAAAATAGTGACTATTATTTTGTAAATACTGGCTATTTTTGAATGACCCGTCCGAAAACTGGCTAGTCCGTGCTATTTTACAAAAGTGTTTTCTAAAATATTTTTCACCCCAAAAATATTGGCACAATTACAACCATTAAGAAAATAACCCCTCTTCAGCCTTTCATTTTTCTTCTTTTACACACACTCCAATTTCCAATTTCCCAATCTGCAACTTTCTCTTTCCCTTTCAAAAAAATCTCAGAGAGAAAAATGGCGGATCAGCTCACCGACGATCAGATCTCTGAGTTCAAAGAAGCCTTTAGTCTCTTTGACAAGGACGGAGATGGTAATATTTTTTACATATTTTAAAATTATTTTTCATTTTATAATCATTTTTTCCCTCAGATCCAGTGCTTGGTTCTTTGTATTTTACAAATTTATGTATTTATATTTTAGGTGAAATAGTTGAGGCGCGCCGAAGCTAAACAGAACACCACCGTTATTTTAAAAAATTGTGATCTATGGTTGATTTGATGTAACTTTCGAAAAGAGTGAAGGGTTCAAAGCACGAGAGTCAAAACATCTAATTTTCGCTATTAATTCAATATGGGTTTACATTTTGGTCACAAATTATTATAACTACATAGGAAATATTTGAATCTTAAGTGAAGAAAGGCTAGTTTGACTTTTTGAATAGTAATATTATTGTATAAAGTTGGTGATAAAGGGAATATTTGATTTGATTTCATTTTGTAGAAAATTTACACTTTTGGTCACATTGTATATGTTGTTTCTTTTTTTGTTGTTATTTTGATTTTATTTCATATTGGTTTGATTTTGCACTCCGGGTTTGATTCAGTTCTTAAAAGAAATGGATATGATGACCTATCTATGTGAAGTTGGTGGGTTTTAATGTTGTTAAATAGCTCAATTTAACATATTGTTAAGGCTTCATGGGATCTCGAAGACTGTTTAGTGGTGACAAATTGAATTCTTGTTTGGGATCTTTACACAAATAGCCGGCCGAATTTACTGGTTACTTCTACTTGATGGTATACATCGATTATACACTAATCATACATGGTTATACACATATTATATATGGATTATACATATATTATATTAGCCGTTTTTTTAGTTTAAGCGGTTGGGCGGGCAACTATTTAGGTTGATTCTTCTTATTTTGGATTTCAATTACAATGGGAGCTGGTTGAAGTTGGTTTTGATTGAAATCAGTTGACAAGCCCGAAAAGGTTGTACCTTTTAGGTGTTTTCTATTATTTGTTGATTTTCTTGTTGATTCGTGTTTTGTTTCTTGTGATTTGTTAATCAGTTTCACTCTATGTCATAAACTTGTTTATACTGGTAGATTGCTAACTTACCACACATTGCTATAACGCCAAAAAGTGTATGCAAGTCTTTTTCAGAACTGTGTACAAAATCTCTTCACACTTGGTTTTATAGAAATGTGTTTACTTGAATTCTTTTCTGACGTTTTGGTACAAGTTATTTTTTCAGAGACCTATTCAAAGCTGATGTCCTTTCTTCTATATTTGAACTATGGAGCAATTTAGTTCATTATTCTGGTGAATATAGAAAGCTTATCAGTTTCCTTTCTTTACTATGTATACGGGTGTGTGTGTGTGTACATACATATGCTTGTTTATCGTGATATCACTTTAAATCCTATTTAGTCGGATTATGTATGTCATTTAAACAAAGTAGTTTTCTTCTGTTGTCTTATCTTTTATGGATTCTGGGGATGAGCTGGCGGATACAAATGAGCTTCCTTCTCAGATTAAGATGATTGTCCTGCTATTTTGGCAAGTTCAGTAACAACAACTACGCCTCAGTTCCTAACAAGTTGGGGTCGGCTATATGAATATTCACTGACCTCATTTTTTTATTTAAGCTCAACTCATGTCATTATCATGTGCCAAAATAAAAATATAAGTGAATAATTAAGTTAAATAATTCTATTATATAGAAGAGCGGAGATCTCAACTTGTTTGCTTCATGTCAAGATTGGAAAAAGGAGAGATGCTTAATGCAGTGATTTGCACCTGAAGATAGAAAAACCTTTTTTAGCTGTCATGAATCTGCCAACCAAACAAATCTTGATGTTTGTATTCTCTTTAGAAAGGATAGTTCTGTTTTTTTATCCTATATAGATAGAAGTGATTAACCCACTTACTTATGTGTTCACATGCTTCCTTTTGAACATCGCTCATCGGTTTCATATCTGATTCAAATATGTGTTTCTGTTGGATTCAGATGATTTATACTCGTTTTGTGAGAACAAACTGGTCTAAGTCTCATGTTAAACTTTTTTCTCTAACCTAGGGAAATAAGGAAAAAAACTGTAAGTTTTATAAGCAATTTGAATTATGGCTATAACTGTTCAATAATTGTCTCCATATCTGCTGCAGGTTGCATCACAACTAAGGAGCTTGGAACTGTAATGCGGTCATTGGGGCAGAACCCAACCGAGGCTGAGCTTCAAGACATGATCAATGAAGTTGATGCTGATGGGAATGGGACCATTGATTTCCCAGAGTTCCTTAACCTGATGGCTCGCAAGATGAAGGACACTGATTCCGAGGAGGAGCTAAAGGAAGCTTTCAGAGTGTTCGACAAGGATCAGAACGGATTCATCTCAGCAGCTGAGCTTCGTCATGTCATGACAAACCTAGGCGAGAAGCTTACAGATGAAGAGGTAGATGAGATGATCCGTGAAGCTGATGTGGACGGCGATGGGCAGATCAACTACGAGGAGTTCGTCAAGGTCATGATGGCCAAGTGAGAACTGATGAATCCAACTTTTAATCTTTATTAGAAGTAAAAATACGAAGAGAAGGAAACAGGGCAGATAAGTTTGTTGAGATTCTGTTTCAAATTAGGACATATTTACCTGTCTCAGTGCTTGCCTATTTTCCTATTCGTATGGTTCTGTAGTGTTGTTCTTCAGTATATGCCTGTTTGCCCTGTTCCTTGTCTTAGTAGTTTGGGTTGTTAGTAACTCCTGGTAATTTCTTCCTGAATCCGGTATTGTGAACCTATGACGTGTCAAACTTTTTTGTTTTGTATTCTAAGTGACTAATTCCGTTGATATTCCAAATTCTTGCTTATGCTTTTATATGTGTTTTGTGTTCTCTTGATTTGCATTAACTTGTAGCTACAATTTGGTTTCTGTTTTACATTGCTATGCTTGACTTCGAGCTCGAGGCGTTCCACACCTCAGGCTCATTTAAGATTTTGAAGGTGTAGGACATATGGCATAAATTGTATGACTGTACTCTCTACATCCTTAGCAAGAGTATCTGGAGTTAGCTTCTTAATTTTTGCTTTTGGTTTTACCTGGACCATAGTTAACTGGAGCAGGGCAGTTATGTGGATGATCCAAGCAGATAGTAGGTACATTTCTTGGTGGGCGGAGTTAAATGGCACTTGTGCTGGTGGGAGGTAGCATGTACTCGTGTAACAGTTGAGGTGCACGCAAGTTGCCCCGGACACCACTCAAGGAATGGGGTATAACCATTCAGTCAATTCCTTTGGGTTCCCCTTTCGTGCACACAAACCCTAGACCCGGGTTTTGGAACCATTTAAAAATTTGTGGTCAAGTCTGATTCTTGTGTCATAAGTTTGCGAAATCTGATACAGATACTACTTTAAAGGGATGAGAGAGAGGTAGACTCCAGAAGGCACCCGACGGTGTAGTCTAATGGTTAATAAAGTGGGTGACGACTATGGGATATTAGGGTTCAAATATCCACACAGACGAAAATTGCTTGAGTGGGTACTTATGCCTACAATTTGATCTCATTGAGTGGGTACTTATGCCTACAATTTGATTTCATGGATGAAGGCTAACGTTTTATATTGGAATAGAGGGATGTGCTGATCAATTCTACTTTTCACTTTGCCATCTAGAGATAGTTTGCCCCCTGAGTTAGGATACGGAGTTGGAAGAGAATGCCAGTATATCAGTTCATCTTCATCAAAGGCCAAGATCTCCATGAATTCTATTATTTTGCGTCTCTTTGCTTCTGAGTGACAACAATAGTAATTGGGTCATCTTGCGCGCACCTCGACTATCTGTTACTTGCTAACTTCCGCAAGCATAGGTATTGGGTAACTCTATACATCAGCATGGATCTCCTTCTATCTCGGAAAAAAATTAATATTATGTACTTAATTTTTTTTTATTTCTTTATTATATTTATGCTTTTCCATTGGAACCGAATGGAAATTTAGCTTTTGCCCTTTTTCTGTTTTTGTTGGTTAAATGACGGACAGAAAAGGACTTTGGGCTGAAGAGGTGACTCCACGAGCCAGCAAAAAAGAGAGAAATAGCAGCCGAGGACGTGGTTGGAAAAAATGGCTATGCTTTTCTCGTTAATATCTTTA